CAGGCTGATGTCCGTGGAGGAGGAGCTGAAGAAGGACCACGCGGAAATGCAGGCGGCCGTGGACTCCAAGCAGAAGATCATTGATGCCCAGGTGGGGACTCGCGCCCTGGGGTTGGCCACAGGTGCTAAAGGGGGGTGACTGGCTTCCCCGCCTCCTGTCATCTCCACTGAGGAAGAGCAAGAGGCCGCAGTCTCTGCTCCCAGAAGTCAGGCCTGGGCCCAGCGCACGGGACAGCTCGTGCCGCAGGCCCGGCCCCTCCCAGCGGGGGGACTAGCGGGGGGATGGGGGCGGGTGCCTCTCACTGGGGGGCTTTGCTGGCCAAGGGCAGGAGCTGCTGGAGTGGGGGAGCAGCCTGGAGCCAGCGCAGGGGCTTCTGCGCAGAGCAGCGGCGCCCCCCGGCCTCAAGGACTCACGAGGGTCTGGCCGCAGGCTCCTTCGCCCCCGTTCTCTGGCTGGGCCCCGGCGCGGCAGACGGCACCGCAGGGCCGGGAGCTGTGCGCTCGCTCGCCGTCTGCCACACTCAGGAGCCGGGCGGCCTGTCCTGGGGCCCGCCCGGCCGGGCAGCAGGGGTGGGTGGAGCCAGGAGTCGTGCGCACGTGCCTCGGGCAGCCTCCCGGCCCCCGGCCCGGCCCCAGGAGACCCTTCCCCAGCACGCTGCCCTCAGCCTGGCAGCCCGTTCCCAGACTCCAGCTAGGCCCCTCTCCGCAGGAGAAGCGCATCGCCTCGCTGGACGCTGCCAACGCCCGCCTCATGAGTGCCCTGACTCAGCTGAAAGAGAGGTACAGCATGCAAGCCCGTAACGGCATCTCCCCCACCAACCCCACCAAATTGCAGATTACCGAGAACGGCGAGTTCAGGAACAGCAGCAATTGTTGACCTGAGGAGGGGGGAGCCTCCCCAGGAGTGGGGGGCTGTGGCGGCCCAGGGCAGGCTCTCGGCCCGGGGAGCAGCCCCCACAGCCGCAGCCCCCCGCGGGCGAGAGGCCGAGGCTCGTGTCCCCCGCCTCCGCCCGAGGTCCCGGAGGCGGCCGCAGAGGGAGCCTCGAGAGACTGACGCGGCCTGCTCCCCTTCTCTTCTGGCCGAGAAGCGTGTGGGGCAGGCAGAAAAGACTGCACGCTGGGGGCGGGCGGCGGCCAGCACACGCCTGCTGTTGTCGAGTCCGGAGTCCGGTGTCCGCCGTCCGAGTGCACGGACCCCGCACCCTGCCAGGGAGCGAGCTGCCTCCCTGGGGACATGGAGTATGAAGCGCTAGGGGCCAGTCCTAAGCGTCCCCTCGCCTGCCTCCGAGGGACCCCGCACTCCCTCAGCCAGGCCCCCCAGGTTCCAGGAGCTGACAGGTGACCGGTCGGTCGGTCGGTCAGCGGGCAGGGAGCGGTGGGGGACGGAGCTGCCGGCGCGTGGCGCCTGCCCTGCCCGCCCACCCCGAGCCCCTGCCGCTGCGCGCAGCCTGTCTGGGCCCCGCGTGGCTGCAAGGAACTGAGGGCCCCCCCCCCCGCACCCGTCCCAGACTCCCCTTTTCACCTCACCTCCCCCCTCTCCTTCCCTCCCTGTTCTGCCAAATAGGCCACGAGGGGACCACAGCGCACTTTTCTGGGCCCTCGTCCCTGAGACCCAGAGCCTCCCCACTTGCCGCACGGGCCCCGGTGGTACCCTGCGGCTCCCGAAGCCAAAGATCTGGGCGGTGTTGGCCCCGAAGGCCCCACGGTGCCTGCCCTCCTCTGGGGGCCCGGCCAGTAGGGCGCGGCACGCCCGCACGCAGTGCTCAGCCATGCCACCCCGAGGGACAGGCTGGTCTCCCCCAGTTGCTGGTCTGAAGAAAAAAAAAAAAAAGAATTCTAATGCCCACAGGCCCTGAGAAGGTGGATAACTGTGATTTTTTTTCCTTTCACAGTATGCATTAGAAACAAAAGCCCGCTTGCTCGCTTGCTGGAACACAGGGGCCTTTTAAATTGAGCGTGCGCACTGCATGGGAAATAGCGGCCCTGGAGGATGTTAGACTTGCTCCCTCTCCAAGACGGCAGCAGCCTGCAGCCGCCCCTCCCGCCCCAGCCGAGGACCAGGCGCTGCACACAGGGGAGGGGCGCCCCCGCCGTGGGCCGCTTTTCCTCAGCTCTAGGCTGCTCTGTGGCTTTCCAGCCCCCTCCCCTCGGCGGGCCATAGGTGGGCAGGAGCTTGGTCCCCCGTTCCTCCCGTCCCCTCCCCTACAGGTGGCAGCCCCGGCCCTGGCTAATGACAGTGTGGGCAGGAGCTGGGGCGCTGGCCCTTGGCGGGGCCAGGCCGGGCGAGCAGCGGGAGCCGCCCCGCTGAGCCTCGGGAAGCTGGGCAGGCCTGGGAATGAGCGCCGAGCCTGCCCCAGGGCCGGGCTGACCACAGAGCCCCTGAGGCAGGGGCGTGCGGCCTGCCCTCGCCCCAGCCCTGCGAGTTCTGGAGAGGGGCTCGTAGATGGAGCCTGTAGTCAGGGAGGCCAGCGACAGGGGCCGTAGGGGCACAGACCTCAGGAAGGACAGGCGGGGCCGACCCCTGCCCCTCCTGGCCACACGGGCC